CTTAAGTGAGCGTATCAAAGTAACCATGAATAAAAGGATAAAACGGGTAAAATTTTAAACAGCTGCTAATAAATATCGTGCATTAATTTTTTATTTTACTCTTTTTTCTCTACTAATAAATTTTATTCTTGTTATAACAGTATATAAATAAATTGATAGTTAAACGGAGTGTGATTGTGTATACCGTATTACTGGAACTGTGAAAACTTTTGAGCACATAAAGTGTGCATTATAATTTTTTTTTTCTTTAAAGTTTGTCTTTTAAAGACGAACATTTCCTTTCTTAATTGTCTATATATAAAATATTTTATGAAATTTCTTTTATCTATTTTTATAAGAAAAGTAATAATAATTAGGAAAATTTAGAATTTTTACTTTATTTTATTTCAAAAATTTTTATTTTTTCTTTGAAAATTATTCTAACAAATAAAACAATACTGACTTTTCCGCTTTTCTTTTTCATAAAATAATGAAGTTTCCGTTCATGTAGTTTTAAAGTGATTTGTTCAATTGTTATTAACAATATTAAGTTTTATTACAAAAAAAAAATTAAAATAGTGAAAAATGTGAAAATAATTTTCTGTTTCTGAGATTTTCTTAGAAATTTTTCATAAAATATTTTTAGAAAAAAATTATTTTTCAAAGAAAATTATTGTATATCGGAAAATATGATATTTTTTATACCCTGCATCTTGGTGAAGGGTATATTCACTTTGGTATGGCGTTTGTAACCACTTGAAGGATTGACATGTATATAATATATTCCCGCTCAGCATAAAATTTTGCGTTGATTTAGTCATGTCAATCCGTCCGTCCGTCCGATCGCACGACAACTTAAAGACGCATAATGCAATCAATACCAAACTTTCAGAAGTTGTTTTTTTCTGAAAAGGACGGGGGCTATTATAATTGGGCCAATTCGGACAACGGATTCGTGTAGCTGCCATACAACTCAAAGAGTTTATTTTAAATATTTCGAAAACTAATAAAGGTATAAATATGAAATTTTTTATACGTTTATCCAATTACATTCTACGCGCGCTCTAAAATTTCTAAAGTTTAACTCTAATCTCTAAATTTTAATGGGACGGCTCTACCGGATTGGGTGGCTGATATACAACTCCAAAGCTAAATTTAAAATATTCGAAAAAATAATAAAGTAAGGTTAATGAATCTTGGCAGATGTGTGTCCAATTATAGATCAGACATGTCCGTACACTTTTCATAGAGTGGTTTCACAGGTTCGAGTACTTGGTACACAACAATTAATACAAGGTATTTCAAAAGCAAATTTTAAACTCAGATTATCAAGGTACAGGGTGTAATTCGGTTGATTTATATCGACAGAAACGTTTTCACTTGTTAGTTATTAATTTTTATTCAATGCCATAATTGGATGACATTCAATTCCAATTTTCTTAATAAATTGGAGATCCGTTGATTCTACCCAAAATTTTTACAAAATGTAGTACGGAGTGCGAGATTCTTATATTAAAAGAAGGATAAAAACTAGTAACACCTTATAAAATACTAGAATTAATATTTTGATTGACTGATCAAGACAATAAAACAAATTCAATATAAAAATTATAAAAAATATTAGGATATAGATGATTTTTGGCCGTCTATGTTGCTATCATTTAAGTGAAATTCTATAAAAATTAACAAAAAAAAAAAACATTTTTTTTACTACAATAAGGCAGTCTCTAAGAGTAAAAATGTTTTCAATATTTTTACTTTCTTCCTCTTCAGTCTCAAAAAGTATGCAATTAAACATTTTACATAACAAGAAAGCTGCAATTGTTTTCTGTTTATAAGGTTTCTGTTGATTTGATTGAAAGCATTAATAAGTGTTTGAATGCCAAATATTTCAAAATTTTTTAAAATCCATTCTAAGATTTTTTATTAATTCCCATGTGCAAATTTTTGATTGCTATTTAAGTGAGCACAATTTAAACGAAATTTCTAAAAAGAATGATAACTGAAAACGGTCAATATGCCAACCGAATGCAAAAGATGTAGAAAAACTATTTGTTTCAATTTTAGCTGACATTAACAGTTGCTAACAGTATTTTTGTAAGATTTTTTTCTTTACAATTATAAAAACTTGTCTAATTGGTCGACTTGTCTTAAATAAATATTTTTACCACTCAACAATAATAAAAGAAATTTCCTTTTGAAATCACCAAAATCTTCATGCATAAAGGATTTGAATGAACAAAATTTCAATAAAAGTTCATGAAATCATCAAAAAATTAAAATATTTCCAGGCTTTCTTTAAATAATCTTCAATACTAATTGCTTTAAAATTGGAAAATGAAGTCCTGTAAATTTCTTAACAGGTTTTTTTTTCAATATTTTTTTAGTAGTCCAAGTCCAAGAACAAAGCAAAATCTATATTATATTAAATTTCACAGTTAACCTTTTGCCCTTAATTTTTTGCCACACATTTGAAAAATAGAAAAAAAAAAATATTTTCACTTTTCATTTTCAATTTTTATTCAATAAAATTTAATTTTTTTTTTTTTTGTTTTTCCTTTATCTTTTTTTTTGCACAGTTCGACGTTATAAGTAGAACGAATGAAATAAAGACAAAAAAGGTTTATACCTATTGAAAAATAAAACGGTTAATTGTTGTAAAAAAAAAACCACAATTCCTTTCATTAAATGAAAATTAAATTTTTTATTTTTTTGTTCCCTCAGTTGTGCCATCACATTTTCTTTCTGTTAACCCAGTTTTCTAAAAAAAAAAAAAAAAATTTTTTTTTTTTTTGGGTTCCATTTAAAGTGAAATCCATTTCAGATTAAAATGTTTTGCTTTCCAATTTGTTACCTCGATTTTTCCTTTTTTTGTTTTAAGACTAAAGTTGTTCGCATAAAAATAATGTTGTATAATGTAAATAAAAATAATGTAAATTGTGTATGTAGGTAAAGAGAGAAAAACTTTTTGTCTGCCTACTTTTCTAAACTTTTATTTTTGTTTTTTTATTTTTTTTTAATTCAGAATATGCAAAACCATCGTAATGTATTTGAAATTTTTAAAAAATATTAAAATTATTATGGGAATCTATTGTGGGCAGTTGTGTACTCTAAGAATAAGACAGAAAATTACGTCATTTGTTTTTTTAAATAAGATATTTTGTGATTTCTCTTAAATAAATAAAAAATTCAGGACTACTAGATTAAAGGACATGAATTACAAAGATTCTTTGTGAAAAAAATGGTAAAATGTATGTGTATGTACCTCAATATAAGTTGAAAAATAATCGAAAATACTGAAACTAATCAAATTACTGAACAGAAATAATAATGCTTCGCCGCAAAGTATGCAATTTTATGTACAATTCTTTTGCATTGAATAATCTTACTTTTTTCATATTTGAATTTGTGTAGATAAATAAATTCTTTGCCAAATAATATTTTTTTTTTCATAATATTATAAATGTTTGCTGTTTTTTTGTTTGTTTTGTCTTAATTCATTACTTTAAGGAAAATAAATTAAACATTTTCGATGCCAAATATTTTTGTTTTGAAAATTTTTGAACGATAAGGATTTAAAAATAATAAATTTCTTTGTAAAAACTAAAAAACAAAAAAAAAAATGGCGATAGATAATTTCTTATTTTCTAACAAAAAAGAAAAACTATTCAACAAAATTTTTGGTATTTTCGTTTTTACAAATCACAATTTTTTTTTTTGGAATTTTAAGACCTTAATTGCGCGGAAGTAAAATTTTTTGTTAAATTTTTATCTTTTCATTTAGATGCTGGAATACAATAGAATCCAGAAATAAATTCATTTAAAATTAAAATTCTAGAATATGATAAAAATATTTAAACCCAACCGATAAGGGATAAAATACTGTGGTAGATTAGAAAATAAGTGCATAAGGGATAAAATAATAAGAAAATTTGAAATTTAGTCATTTGGGGCTGAACTTATTCATATTAAAAATAATTTTATTTTACAAAGGTTGCGTAACATTTGTTCGAGCTACTTTGTTTATACTACTATTATGGTATATGAAAAATATGTTTGTGGCTTTATTAGCGATTAACACTCTTAAATGAATTAAAATAACCTTCAAAATTAACATTTTATAAATTTCTTAAAAATCTGTTGAAGTGTTCAAGATCTACTGTAGGTGAAATTAAGAGCTAATTTTGTTTCTAAAAAAAATTAATTTTATACTACTCCGTAAGAGATTAACAAAATTAGAGTCATTTCAGTGAATAAAACATAAAAGTATCTTAAATCACGGTGCCTTCTGGGAAAAAAAGAACAGTTTTCAAAGAAATTAAAAATATTCAAAATGAATGCAATGAAATCTAATGTAGTCTTGGGTTTTGTATTTGAAGAAAAGCATTTTTTTTTGAAATTTTTTAGTTAATGAGCTACTTGTGGAAAAGTATACTGAGTTCTATAACTTAAATGGAAATTTCATACTTAATATTATGCGAGGTTTCACTGTAAATTGAATGTATCTCAAAAAATATTTTCAACTAAAATGTTTAATTGTCAGTTCAATTTAAGCTTTTCATCTGTATATCATTTATTTGTGATACTATAAAAATAAACTATATAATATGAAAAACCTTAAAATATAGCACAACAGCTTTCCTATTTTACAATAATCTTTGATTGATAGAATGGTGTAACTTTTTATTTTTTATAATAAAAACAAAAGTAGAAAAAATGAAAATGGAAAATTACATTTAATTTTTCATCTATAACAAGAAATTACTCTGACTCTACTATAAAGTGGAATACAATTTTGAAAAATTTTTAAAATATAAAACATTATGAATATTTTAAAAAGGTTTTACGAGGGTAATAGAAATAATTCGGATGTTCACGTCACAACAAATAAAAATTAAATTCAAAAGTAATTAAAAATTTAAACAAATTAAAATGAAAATCCGTGCTCGTGTAACTTTTCAATTAAATAAATATTTTTTTTTGAGAATTATCTAATTTTTTTATTTTTTTTTTATTTTCAGATATACGATTAATTTCTCTTCCCGATAAAAAGTTTTTCAGGTACGTGAGTTATAGTTTTTTTTTTGTAAGTTTAATCTTATATATTCATATATGCGTGTATATGTGGTTGTATTTTAAAAGGTAAATTTTGAAAATAAATAATAAATTAACTCTTATTTTCCATAGAGATTCCATTGTAATACTTTTGATTGCGGTTTAAAATTGAAATGTTAAAGAGCATATGTCATTAATAATAATATCATGATATTTTCGCGCTCAATTTAGTATTATAAAATATTGAAGAGCATTACAAATTTTTGGTTAGGAATTCTACTGAAAAGATGAAATGTTGACTTTAATGTAGATTGAGGGAGAAAGAGGAAGAGACAAAGAGAGAAAGCAAGTAAATGGAAAATGTACAAAAGTAAAACAATTTGAAAAAAAATGAATATTTTCTTATCAAAAGAGTAAATTGAAAAAAAACTTGACATAGTAAGAAATCTGACATAAACGAACGAAAAATATATTTTTGAGTTTAACGAAAGTATTAACGAAAGATTATAAACACAAGATTATATAAATTTCTGAAAAAGCAAGTGTCTTTTTACTCAAAATGCCTAGAAAATAAGAATCTTTCGGTTCTCAGGCGACGTTTCGTTTTTGCTATCCAATTTCCTTCATAATTATCAAATCAGATCAGATACTATATGGTTGCCAAGATATTGCGTTAATTACTTTCTCAGATTATGGTTAAAAATTTTAAAATCAGCCACTATGAAAGTTCGGTCTGCAGCTCTTATATTCTCGGAAAGTTAACTGATCCAATTTTTTAACTATTAGGCAAATATAAAATTATAAGAAAACCTGCACTATTTGCTTTAAAAAATCATTAAAAACTTTAAAAACTACTTGTTAATCTAGTTACTAGCAACTGGCATACTATAAAAGTTAATAAAATGATCCCATTTCTATAGAGCAAACTTAGATATAAAGATTTGAATCAAATTTCGTTTATCATGTTCGGATAATTGTGATATTCTTTCCGAAAATTTTGACATTCTTTTGTGGTTTGCCTATTGGATGCTCAATTAAAAAAGTAAATAGTTGTGCATTTATTCAAAATGTTTAATTATTACGGGTAGAACTTATGAAAAAAATAAAATTTTTACAAATTTTTAAACATTCTTGGATCAAGTTCTGAATTATATACCTTAATATTAGTTATAAGTCAAATTTCCTTATGAAAAATTTTTCTTAAGGAAATTTATTTCTTAAAATAGCAATTCCTTCAGAGAGATAGCTCAAAATATAATATTGAATCGGCTTACATCTAATTTAAAAAAAAATACAATTTGTTTATTTTATTTTGTTCTTATCTCCTTACTTACTCTTATCAGTTTCTATTTAGTGTCCATATGTAGTATAATACGAAATATACATATTATTTACTAAACCAATATCACACAAACCTTGTAGTCGTCATATGCAATACCTTATACAAAATTACTAAGAAGAAAAATATCATAAATATTACAGTAATATTTTTTTTTATTTTCTAATTATTTTATTCTTTTATTTTACATTATATAAGTAAACTGTAACACAAATAGCATGCCAATGTTAAAAATCTACTATGAGCACTGATCCAACAATTAAAACTTATTTTATCTTTTATATTTTGTTTTCTCTCCATGATGTTTCAAAAAGGATCAGAAGAAAAAAAAAAATCCCAAAAAATGTTTCTATTATGATCTGAGCTTTTTTTTTTCTTGTTAATTTCCAAAAATAAAAAAAAATATTTTTCTTTTTCTTTGTGTTTTCATTTTTATTTTTTCGAAAAAAAAATTGGCAACTTTTCCTTGAAGTTTGAAAATCGCAATAAAACCTCCGCTCAAGGAAAATATTAGTTTTCCGTTCATATGACAGACTTTTCTCTATCAGGTAAAATATAGCCATTTTTTTTTTCGTTTTTTCTTCATTTTTATTTTCGTTTTTATTGTTTTTTGTTCTGGTTATTGTCATGGATTCTTATTTTTATAAAGAATTTTTTCTGTTTTATCCAACAAATACCAGAAAAAAAAGGACCAAAGTATTAAACCACGACAAAAACAATTGTACATGGAAAGAAGAAGAAAAATTTTTAGCTCAATTTTTGTTTTTCTTTGCGAGAAAAGAGAAAAACAAATAAATAAAAGTGTCATAAAAATCCGACACAGGAATTGGGTTTCACAAAACTAGAAAAACACGAAAAATATTCTAACAAAACAAAATAAAAATTTTTTTGCTGTTTTTTTTTTTTTTGTTACTAAATTTAATATTTTCCATATCTGGACTCAATGAACGAACGCTATAATATAAAAAAGGTACCCACAGTCTGACAAAATAAACACAAACAAAAAACAGAAGAAAATTATTGAATGCACACACGTTCATAATTGTTTATGAAATGTATATATACGTAATTTGTATGTAAATACACAATTGTACCAATGTAATTGCATCATTGGTCTGGAATATTTACAAAATAAAACAAAACACAGAGTTTATTTCGCTGGTTAAATAGTTTTCGATTTGTTATTAAAATTAAATGCAAAAAAAAAAAGCGAAAACAATTCTTTTTCTATTTTATTTGGTAAATTTTAAAGCATTTGGGGAGAGGTTTTCTGTGCATAAAAATTTAATAACAATTTAAAACGAGAATATAGATATGGTTGGCCCTGTTAACTATTTGATACCCGTACGAATAAATGATTTTAAATGTCGGAGAGAATTGGCATAAAGTTTCATACAACCTTTTGTTTTTTATTTGTCTAGTGCTATATTAAACATATATGGTAATTTCCATATAAGCCCATACAATCCATATCAAAAAATTCAGCTTTATAGCTTCAACAGTTTCTGGGAAAACAGATTATAAAGTTGTATGGCAGCTACCACAAGCAGCCGGGAAATTTCTACAGTTTTTGTGAAACATAACCGCCCTAATAATATATTTGCTTGTGCAAATTTCCAAAAACTATGCACTGAATAATTTCTAAGATATGACCAAATAACTTTTAGAGTTATATATAGCGATATCGTAAGTGCTCATGAGATCTCAGCAACTTTTAGCGAATATAGCTGCAATTTTATAATATTTGTTTTTGAAAAATTTCAGTGCAGTAGGAACTGAAATTTGAACAGTTTTTATGATGTAGTTAAATAATTTTTCAAGTTGTAACGCAGCTACTAGAAGGAGTTAAGAAATTTCAAAGACTTTTATGAAACATATTAGCCCTGATATTATATTTGCTCATGAGAAATTTCAATACCATAGATTCTGTTATTTCTGAGATATATTCAAATAAATTTTTAAGTTGTATAACAGCTACCTGATCATATTGAATTTAAATAGTATTCTAGAATTAACTATTATAAAACATTTGTGAAATATTGAATAGTCTTTGATATATTATTGGGACTGACGGACGGAGGAATATACTTAGAATTCGACGCTGATCAATAACATTATGCTTGAGTCTATATCTCAGACCATTATTTCTTAGCGTTACAAATGGTAAGGTAAATTCATTTTACCCTTTGAATATACGTTCGTATACTGGTATAAAAATAAAAAGTTTTTGTTTTCAATTTTTGTACATTGTTTTCGAAAACAGCATAGTCGATATTTAGTCATAAAGAATATTGACAATATCAATATTAAAGTAAATTGACTATATTTTCCATTATTATTTTTAATTTAATATGCAATTAAAATTAAATTTTTCATATTATGTAGGAATGAATGCATTTTTAAGTTATTAAATTTTAAATTTCATTTTGGTATTTTAGGATATTATGTGAAATAATATTTGTTCACCATACATTATACTCTATATTATTATTATGTTATACATACTTATATAAATATTTAAAAAAATTATTATTTTAAATTTTAATTTCAATAAAATTTATTGGAATATTTAATATATATAACTGTCTATATTTCAATTTAAATTTAAATGAAATCAATTAAAATAATATTTTTCATATAATATTGTTATAAAAAATATACTCTAATAATGCTTTGCAATTGTTATAATATAAATATTTTGGTATTTATTTTTTTTTTTCAAATAAATAATTTATATTTGAGTAATGATCTTTTGGGCTTTAATTTTTAAATAAATGTTGAGAGAAGTCTATGATGGAAACAGTATATTACCGATTGTATTGTTTAATATTCAATTAAAATTGTTATACAAATTTATATTCATATATTGGGGATAAAGCATAAAATCGTCTAACAAGAATAGGCCTATGTTTACGAAATCTATTTTTTTTTTTTAAAAATTATTTACTTATTTTCCTTTAAACAACAAAATTTTAAATAGAAAAATTTCCTTAAGGGTTCTTTTACTCATCAACTGGGTTTCATATTTTCGTAATACGTATAATTTTCGACGGTGAAGAATTTTTTTCGTATAAAATCTAGTCGCCTAGTGACAGAACCTAATTTTTAAAAAACCAGTAATCTTATTAAACTATGGGAGAGTGGAACAAACGATTAGGCTGTAAAACTTGTTCAATCGTAATTTAGATACATGAGAGCACAGATTAATCGACGCAGCATAGAATTTTTATTGAAATTTTAACATGCGAAATGCGATATGATAACAGTTCGTTTTCAAATTTACACAATACAATCGGTAAAAATATAATATTATTTAAGTTGATTACAGTAAACATAACGGTATTTAAATCTTCATTTAAGAGGCAATTTTTTAATTCTTATAATATTTTAATTAATTGTATTACCGAAATAATTGTAAAAATAATGGAATTTTTAAACTTTGCTTTTTAATATAAAACTTTGGAAGAGTATGAAAAGGAAAAATTAAATTATTTTTTCTCCGTTTACATTATAAATTTTACTATAAATGTAAAAATAATTTTTAATTTATAGTTAATTTTTAAATTTCAATAATCAAATTCGAATATAATTCGAAATAATGCTGCCATTGTAAATAATACTAAAATGGAATATTATTTTTCGTAATCAATTTAAAATTCTGTTCTCA